GTGAGCGAGTGAAAGATAGAAAGAGATAGATAGATAGATAGATAGATAGATAGATAGATAGATAGATAGATAGATAGATAGATAGATATAGATATATATATATATATATATATATATATATATATATATATATATATATATATATATATAGAGAGAGAGAGAGAGAGAGAGAGAGAGAGCGAGAGAGAGAGAGAGAGGGAGGGAGATCTTCTGCTATTACTGTTACCTATACAAATACTATTGCTTTTAGGATGCACCGCATTAGGGTTTTTCTGATGTTTTTCTAGAATAAAATTTATAAGAAAATTCTAGTGCATGCTTTTTTGTGGCTAACTCTTTAGTTCTTGACTGAAAAAAAATTGGTCCCTTATATATACCTGTTCTCTTGAGTTTTTCTGTTTTGCGCAACACGTTTTCATATTTAGTATTTACGGTATCATTATTTTTTGCTACGGTTCTGAGACGGCTGGAAGCCTTACAAGTTATTTAAGTTATATCCCACCCCCCCCCACACACCTCCAAAACCATACTCACTCCTCACCCTTCAATTTATGCTTTGCTCATTGGGGGTTAACATTTCTTTCATGTTTCTATCTTTCCTTCTGTCTGTGTCTGTCAGTTTATTTGTAGGGTTCCCTAAACAAGGGGAATAATCAACGTTGCAGTTATCTGGAGATACTTTATCTTTCATTTATCTCCCTTGTCTCGACGGATTCAAACTGATGCCCCCCCCCCCCCCTCCCGAGACCAACCGCTTGACAGTTTCAAAATTAATATGATTAAAATCCTTGTAGTTTATTGTAACAAGTCTGTGGGTTTAACTGTCCTCAGAGAAAGTTGCATTTGAAAATAGCAAAAGTTGCAAAAAGTTGCAAGAAAAAGTAGCAAAAGTTGCAAGAAAAGTTGCAAGGCGTACGTATAGCTAAAACAATGCCACGGAACTATTGGAATACATTATATTGTTGCTATGCTCATTGCAATCAAAAGTAACCAATATAGAGTTTTGTTAGATCAAAATCAAAAGTTAAATGTGAATGTCTACCAAAAAAAAATAAAAAATTGCTTGGAGTACAAAAACAGTTTGTCCCCTGACACATGCGTCAGGTCCTTAAACTCTCGTTGATGTTGGGCAGGTGTGGCCGGCGTGGTTTTGGGGCTGTTCAAATAAAATCTTACACTTTTTTTACACTTTCCTGCGACACCCCCCCCCCCCCCCCCCCCCTCAATCCCGTATATTACGTTATTCGCTTATAAAATAATATGACATTTATATTGCGCAAATCTGTGGTACAATCACTCTTCTATGCGCTTTAGTTTTAAATTATTAATTATGGTATTCATGAAAAACATGCATACACATACATGTGACATAATAATTCAATACGCTATAAAAATATCGGAACTTTTCCAGAAAAACTTACGGTGTCATTTTACCACTTTAACCGCACCGGTGTAATCAAAATTAGATTAGATCTACTTGTCAATGTCATGTAGCCCAGATATCTACCAGTGTATAAAGTGCGAGATGACACATATTCGTGCTTGCCGCTCGAGGTCCATTGTATCGCCACCAGGGGCGAAGGCTGACTTGTTTGACAGGGTAATCAAAGTGAAACAAGAATCTTACTCGAGGCGGCGACTCTGAGTTGTGAATGAAAACAAATCCGGAATTCATATTGTATGTTCAACCGCCAAAATAATCGGGAAAGTATCTTATTAAATATCAGTTCCCACTAAAATTAAACTTAACTTTAGATGTGAATACATAAACATAAAGCAAAGAAGCAGAGATGTCAGTACTAGATCTATATGTTATAGATCTACCAGTGAGTCTAACTCTTTGGTAGAACATGACAATTATTATTTTTTAAATTTCACATTTGGCTGTTTTTGTTAGCCTTTCGCGGCCAGGAGCTGGTGTCATAATCGAGGTCACGATCTGATTATAGGACGGTAAAAAGTCGAGGAAAAAAAAACAAGCACAAGCAGCAGTCAAGAGATTATTAAGAGTTAGTTCCCCTCACATTTGTGAGGTAGACTCGAACAGTGTTAGTTAGCTTACTTAATCAGGGCTGGTGATTGATTTTAACTGTGGCCCCAAAGGGGTGAACAGGGTATATGTGGCAATGAAACAGCTTTGACTGCCATGCACATGTTCCCTTCAACTCTATTCCAGCCTCACTTTATTTGTTGATTACGAACGTCTTTTGACATTTAATTTATGAGGTTTACGTTTAAGGATGAATTTGACAGCGACAATGTTTCAAAATTAGAAAGGGAAGCAGTGATTATTTGATTATATAGACGCTTCGCCCCTGATCGCCACAATGCAGTGCTTACCGTTCGAACTTAACTCAAAGTCTAAGTGAATAGTGTAGAGTTACTCTCTTTTTATGCTATTAACATAAAAGTTACGATGCCATTTTCCTTGATTATTTTTTTCACCTTACAAAAGTGTAATCTTACATTGGTAACCCCCCCCCCCCCCCCCTTTACACTTTAACTTTTACAGGAGTCAAAGGACCCCCCCCCCCCCCTTCCTTTTTTTTC